GGGGGGGGGGGGGGGGTAAAGCCTAAAAGAGGAAGAGACGGGAACCTGTGAACAGAGAAAGAGGCAGACACAAGTCCCAGGATGAGCAACTGAAGGAGATCAGAGCAGGAGGGCAAAGCCAATTAAAAAAAAAACAAAAAGTAAGTGATAGATTATCTAAAACGTTTGAATTGTTGGGAAATAAATGCATCCCTGATATTTATGACAGAATGGTTAGAAAAAAAACAGAGATACCTACACAGGAAACTCAGCAAATAAAAAATGAGTTTACTATTTAAATGTAAAAGAAAGCAAACACTGAACAAAGAAGAAAAGAATCACAGTGCACTGCTTGGCGTGAGAATGAATGAGACCTGCAGAGTCAAAATACAAACAATGGTGAAACCAGCAGATTCTCAGATCTTATCGAGGTTAGGAAGCTGGAGGAGGGGGTGCATGTGTGAAGGCCGGACCCTCATCTTACAGTAGGGACCATGTCCAGAATTAACCAATTAAGAAACAGAAGTGTGAGCGCATTATTTACAAATAAGAAGAAAAATAACAAACAAACAAAAAAGGTTTAAAGGGGTTGGGTGGGGACTGCTGTCATCCTGTAGGATGCTTTCAGTGCTACTGGATTATAACCGCGTACATGTTTTACTTGGAGGAAAAAATATTTTAACAAAGAGTTCCTGAGAAAACAGTCTTACAATAGGCACATGTCTTTTTTTAAGACATAACATATGAATGTAAATACAAACCACACTCCTAAGTCCCTCCCAAATTTGCGAATTAGAAAAGACAAAAAAAATTTCCAAAGTTACCGATATTTCTGAGCTTAGTGCTTCTACTAATTATAATAAATGGGGGAGAGGGGAGGGATAAGGGGAAGAAGGGAGGTGTCTTAATATCCAAACTACTCAACTACCATGGTGGGAGCCAGAACCCACTCACTCACCCAGCATCCCACCCCACCCACCCCTCCTCTCCAGGACCTTCCCTCAGCTGGCCAGCCACTGCCTCTGGGAAGCCAGGCCCGCCCCAGGGTCCTGCAGTCATCGGTTTACTTGTGTGGCTTCCACCTGCATGCAGAGCTGTGTAAGCCAAATCCTCGGCACCTGGCATGGCGGTAGGCCCAGTAAGAGTTCTCAATGAGTGAGTGAATCACAGGCACACACACACTGCAATCCTCACCACTAGTCAGTGGGTCTTGAAACCCAAACCCACTTGCTTACTTGGGGTGAATTAAATTTACCTCCTTTTACTCTTACCTGTAGACAGTTCCCAGCTGGATGTAATGAAAAGCATCAATCTTCATCAATACAGCCTTCAAAAACATAAACACACATACAAGTAAATAATGCACAAGAATCCACATGTTTAACGAGCGTTCTAGGTGTATATTATAAATCCTATCAACATTAGGTTGCTGTGAAAAAGCAGTATACTGTGTGTCTCTGAAAGGTCTGCTTGTTGGTTAAAGCACTGTGCACCACATTAAGGACAGAGCCTGTCTGCAAAAGATGTGACCACCGGTTCCTCCTCAAAACACAGCCACGGCTACTAGAAATCAGTGGTTTCACCCAAACAGCCAAATGTGTTCATGCTTTTCTAATATAGAGTCTCAAAAAACTTTATCGAAAGATGTTTTGAATAATTCAGTTCCGCAGTCCCAAAGAATATAATTTAAAAGCAATTTGTGTGCTCAGCAAAGAAAAGCACCAAGAGGACACTCACACCCAAACACTGGTAAGCCGCAGAAAGACAGGAGAATTAAACCTACCCGCTGCACATCATAATGAAGTCCGCGAATTGCAAAATTGGGATCATACTCATACTTCCTGATTTCCACGGGATACTAAGAAGGGAAAAAGGAACCAGTTTTAGTCAACAATGTGTTAGTTCAAGACAGTGTCCAGATTTGGCCCCTGTACAGGTGGCTGACACACATTGGGGAAGGTGGGATCAGAAGGCATGGACCACAGCTCACCCTCTGCTCCGGGTCCATGTGCCTCCTGGCCCCAGAGTCCTCCCTCCACCCCGCCTGCTTATCTGCCCAAGCCCAGGTGGGGCCTCCCCCAGCTTCGCTCATCTCTACTTCCCCCCTTTCCTCTGCCCCTGATATTTATGATGGAATATTTAGAAAAAAAATAGGGATCTAGGCATCTCCTAGATCCCTGAGACCCCAGAGATACATCTGCTTCTGCCTCTGATACACGGCTCCCCGTATGTGCTGGAGAACGCTGGTGAAGGGCAGCTGGAACAGCCCCTCTGTGAGAAGTGCAACCTTTCCCAGCATGCTGTCAACCACCCGTCCACTCACATTTGAGCACCTCAGTGCAGCAGCCCCCACGTGGCCCCACTACAGGTTCTATGACTTTTTGAAGGGGGCCCCTCCACATAGCTTTCACTGCTTTCCTTGTTGGGACAGCTGGCCCCTGCTCCTCACCCTCCGTGAGCTGGAGGGACCTCACAGTTGTCAGTTGTCAGGTACAACCTCCCTCCCACGCAGGCCCAGAGAGGCCGCTTCTCAGCACAGGGCTCCCAGTTACTGCTCCAATGCTCCGACTCAGAACATGCATGCCTTTTGGGGGCAGCTAGGCTCTCCTGCTATTTCCCAGTTATTAAACCATCCCCTAGACTATGCAAAAATTCCAGCTCCATCCTTAGCTACTGCTCCAAGCCCTCAAGTCCTTCCCTCCCTTCGCAGCTCTCAGCGTCAGGACACTTGCTACCCACTGATTGCAACAACGGACTGAGTACCATGTCTGCTGCTACTGCATGGAAGGCCCTCCCATTACCATTCTACAGATGGGACGACAGAGGCACCGGCTGGAACAACCTGGCCCGGGCCACAGCTGGGGTGCAGTGGGGCGGGGAGTCAGGCTCCAGCCTCTGCCTGCTCCCACCCTCCCCCTGCCCTGGGAGCACAGACCTGCAGGACCGAATATCTCCTGAGTCTACAGGGGCTGTGTCACCAGAATCTTCCAGCCCTGATGAACACTACTGAAGTAAAAACGTAGACAGTTCTCAGGACACGCAGGAAACCTCTTTGCATGGCTGCACCACCTTTCATGACCCAGGTCACGCCTGCGTGAGAACATTTGCTGGGACCACCAGGCTGAACCACATGTAGCAAGTTTTCAATTCACGCTGCACAAAGCGTTGACTCAAATGTCATCTGTGAGCTCATTTATCACCACCTGCCAAGCATGCAAAGGAATCACCGAATGCCATTTCCAACTTATGGGTGTCTCCGAGAACTCTGAACCCTGTGTATGGGTCTACGTTTTTACCAGCAGACTTTGTACACACATACCCAGATCCCAACACATGGCACACAGCCCTGCTTACTGAAGGGAGGGCATGGCACTTCACCTGGTACTTCTGGAGTCCCCCTTTAAACTCCAGACTGATGAACAAGGCCTAAGACAGGGGTAGATATTCAAAATGCTACTGAGAGGGGTGCTATATTGAGCCATGAGCCACATTTATTCTAGATACTTTCAGCTTCTTTATTGTATGCACACCTCACTGCACCAGCGTGAAGGGGGCAGAGCATCTGTTGTCCGTTTTACTGATGAATAATTTAAGCAGAGTCAAGGGACCTGCCCAGACTCACAAAGGTACACACAGAGGTTGGGGCAGTACTTGAACCCAGGTGCACAAGATGCCCACGTCCCTGCCAGCCACCCCATCACCAGCTGTGAGCCCAGCTGATGGCCTCCTGGGACGGCAGTGCCTGCTGCTCCAGAGGGCTCTGTAGGGCCGCAAGAGGATTCACCGTTACAAGGGCAGCGCTACTTCACTGAGAGGAGGTGCGAGAGCAAGGAGCACACGTGTCCTCTCTTTACACGGAGGGCTGGAAAGTCAGGCAGCTCTCTCTTTGAACAAGACTTGCCAGGGCTCCCCAGCAGGACACAGACATCACACTGAGACACGCCCATACCCACTCACACCACCTGCCTGTCGCTCTCACTGAATATTCCTGGAGAGCCACTCATGGTAGATATACAGTATTTTTCAAATGATTTAGGGACTATGGCAGCAGACCTGGAGAACTGACAGCAGCAGCTGAAAGAGCCTCACAGGACAAAGTCATGACGAAGAGCACAGGCTCCAGGCCTGCAGGACCAGATGTCAAACGCTAGTCCTCCCATGTGCTAGCTGGGTGACCTTGGGCAAGGTCACCCATCTCTCAGAGCCTTGGTTTTTTAATTTCCAAAGGATAACGAGAGTCCTACCTTATGTGGAAGGGGAGAGGATTAAGTCAAAAGATGCACACAGGGAGCCAGGGCAGTGTCTGGCACATAGCAAGTGCTCAATAAACAGAGTTGTTTTGCTGGACTGGGAACTAGGAAGCATGGGCTTTTAGACCTACTCTACCAGTCTCTGCTTCTCTCCTGGGGAACGTTAGGGAAGGCACTTACCCTCTCCAGGCCTCCTCCTTCGTGAATGGACAATGAAATAGTTGGACCAGTCTGATTTCTATACTCTACTCCTGCCCCTAAATTGTGATTCCCCATACAACTAGCCACATCCAAGACATCCTCACGATGGTTCGGCCCCTTTTCACCACACACACACACACACACACACACACACACACATACACACACACGGGAATCTCTGGGAATAACCATTAACAGTAATACCCAGTCAAGAAGCCAAAGCTGCTCACATCAGCCAGGAGATTACACTTCTCGCCAATGGTCGTATGGCTGGATTTTCTGGACTCTTCATAGTTTAGAAACTTTCTACCAACTTGAAAAACATGACTCACCAAATGTGTCATGAAGATTACTGGTGTCTCTAAAAGCAGCAAGAAATGTAAAAGATAAAGATCTTTACTTAGGATTTTTAATTAAAAATCTTATTTCAGCCCAGTCTGGTTTTCTTTAGTGCCTGAATTTGTTGCAATTCCAAGTGCAATCTGGGCAGGCTTGTGTGTGGGCAAAGATCAAGATCTCCTCCTTAAAATGCCACAGAAACATCCCTTACAGCTTCACATGCACACCCTGGAGGTACTAAAATGCTGCAGAGAACCCAGGAATTCCCTGTGTGTAATTCCCACAACTCTGCAGCTTGGCCCTGTGCCCTCTCGCTGGCGAATTACAGAGCTCTGGACACAGCTAGTAACCTCCACATTACAACACGGCCCTTGAGTTCTTGAGGTCCAGATGCCTACAAACATGCCCGCTTCTCAGAGGTCTCAGTTTATTTAAAGTAGTCTAAATTCTGAGTCTAATTAGAGGCAGTGCAGAAGGGCATACAAATGAAGTTCTCTGAAGACCACACAAAATAAGAAGCTAGGGCAAAATGATGTGCTTCGGAGTGGCAATTCTACACCAAGCACAACACTCTCACTTAACCACAGGATTCAATAAATATATCAAGTACACCTGAGCACATACCTTGTGCCAGAGCCTGGGAAGATGGCAGTGAACAAAACTGACAAGTCTCTGCCCCTAAGAAGCTTCCATTTCACCATGGGGAGCAGACCACAAACAGATAAACAAACAAACACACAGGATAGTGTAGTGGTAGTTAAACGGCACTGCATCAAAGAATATGCAGTAAAAGGTTCAGAGACCCAGAAAAAAAACTAAGGAGCAAGGCTTCAGGCTGCCTGGGACCAGGAAGGATGGTCGAAAGCAGAGGAAATGGCAAGCGCAAGGGGCCTGAGGTAGGGATGAGTTTGGCAGTTCAAGGGACAGCAAGGAGGCTGGTGTGGTTAGAGCAGAGCAAGAGCAGGTGGGAAGAAGAGGTTGGGGAGGAAGCTGGGGGCCTGGGACACTGGGAGGCCTTCGATGTCATTCCAAGTGAGACGGGATGGCTCGAGGCGGTTGAGTCTAGGAGAGAGATGACTAATGTTTAAAGGTTTACTCTTTCTGTTGAATGGAAAACAGACTGAGGGTGGGAACAAAAGCAAGGGACCCATCAGAAGGCTACTGCACCTTCGGGGAGGGGATGATGGCTTGGGCCAGAGAGGTGGCAATGGGGGGAGAAAAGTGGATGGAATCAAGACACAGTTGGACTATTCTTCTGCATAAATGACAAGAGAGCGCAGAGTGCAGAGTGACTTCCTTCCCAAGAGTACAGCATGGAAAGGGAGGAGAGAGCAACAGTGAAGAGCCTAATAAACATGACCTCAGCCAGATCACTGGTGGCAAGTCAGGTGGACAGTACGTCGTACACTTGACACAGTGTGATGAGAATGGCCCTCTGCCTCTATGTCTTCCTCTCCAAACCCAAACCCCAGTCTAGCCATGAGAAAACATCAGACAAATCGCAAGAGAAGGGCACCCTAAAAACACCCAGCTAGTACTCTTCAAAACAGTTACCAAAAACAAGGAAACTGTGAGTGCTGCCAAAGCCACAAGGAGCCCAAGGATTTACAACTGATGTAACGTGGTGTCCTGGATGGGATCCTGGAAAGGGAACAGGACATCGGGTAAAAACTCAGGAAACAGAAACAAGTGTGGACCTCTGGGACATGGTTCATGAGCTGTGATAAATGGGCCACAGTAATATGCATACTGACATCAGGGGAAACCAGCGGGTTCCTGGGGTACTTACGCAGGAACTCTCTGCAGGAACTCGGCAACTTCTCTGTAAACCTAAAACTTCTCAAATCAAAGGGTTCTTTAAGAAAGAGAGAAGACCCACAGCACTTGCTAAGGGATCAGACGGGTCAGACGTGGGATACAAACGGGAGGGGTCACGGCTGATGGGAGGCTTTGGATTTGAAAAATCCATGAACATCAGGGCCAGTTGGTGATGAGGGTGTGAATCTGGGAAATGTACCAAGAGCTCTCCTAACACTCTTTCTCTTCCTTGGTGACATGAAATGAAAGTACAGATACAATAATTACCTTATATTTATTTCCATTTTTGTAAAAATGTAAAAAAAGAAGAGAACTTAAGAAGGGACTAGTGCTTTTACATTTGCCTTTTGGGAGGACACTAAATTGCACACTTACTGTTCTATTACCGTGCATCTCAAAAGCAGATGTCTTTCCATCTCTGCAAGTACATTTAATCTTTGGCAGGGAAAATGGCACCAAATTCAAGGCATCTTGAAGAATAATTTTGTTTAATCAGAACAGGAAAAAAATCTGCATAAGCATAATTGACGCTATTAATATGCCTGATATAATCAGTATTGTGCCTTGTTTCTTGGATCAAAGCAACAAACAGACTTAATGGGAATGAAACATCAATGATCTTAAATTTTGAAGCTTTTCTATTCATAACGATTGCACCTTTTCTTCCCTGTCTATTTCATCTCTTTTCCCCAAAATTCATAAATATTTTATCTTCATAAATGTTTTATCTTCATGAATATTGTATGTTCATATGAACTATAAACCCATACGGTAGAAACAAAAGGTGTCATCACTACTCTCACAAAGGGCACACTGGAACAAAGGAGAGCGCTTGCTCCTTGGAAGTAGATCTAAGGCCAAAGCCTGGTTCTGTCTCATACAGGCCTTATGGCCTTGAACTACTAGCTGAACTCTGTAAGCCTCAGTTTCCTCAACTGTAAAACAGGAACTATATCTATTTGCAGGGTTGTCATCCATATTAGAAATAATAGTAGAAATCACGAGAATTAATTGTTCTCCATGTGCCAGGCATTTTACATATATTAGCTCTTTTCATTATCACAATGACGTAAGGAAAGGACTGTTAGTTCGCCCATTTCACAGAGGAATTAGTTGAGTTTCTCAAGATCACCTAAGAAATAGGGGGTGAAAGTGAGGACCTGAACCCAGCAGTCAGACTCGGGGACCAGCACCAGTGGACAATCAGAAGATGGTGCTGTTAGCTTAATGACCTTCACCTTGTAAGTGACACAGAATCAGAGCAAAGGCCGCACACCTTGGACTGGAGGCACCACCGGTTCCATCCCGCTTCAGCTCCATCTCCCAGTGCAGTGCCGGAGAGACGGTGTAGGTTAGCAGGCGCGAGAGTGAGGGCAGGACCACCTGGGCCTTACTCTGCTCCCACACCCTCTCAAAGGAAAGACCGCAGGTTAGACAGAAGCGAGCCTCTTGAACAAATGGAGAAATGCAGCCGGACAGCAAGCAGCTAGAGGGGGTTACATCTGGGAAGGCAGCCATAACTAAAGTAAGCTGGCTGTTGCCTTAGTGGCAGAAAAGAAGGTTACTTTTGCAAATGCCATTTCTGCACTATGACTAAGGGTAAGATGGGTTGATTAAATCCAGTGATAATCAAAAGCTGAGGGGATCAGGAAAACTACTGCATCAAACGGTGAGGATCCAAGACTAATGGAAACTTTGGCAGCATTAATAAAGGCATGGTAGCCAGGGAGGTGATGGTCTGCCTCTGTTTCACTCTAGACAGACCCCACCTGCAGGGACATCTTCAGGGCCTCACACGTGAGAGGGACAATCTGAGCACACACACAGAAGGGTGACCAAGATGGCAAAAAGACTAGAAAAGAAGCCAAATACTAATAGTTGAAGAAAACAAAGAATGATCAGCCTGAGAAAAGAGAAGTCTTAGAGGACAAAACAGGTGGTCTATATAACACCCAGCCCATCACTTAAACAGTCAAGAATAAAACATTAGCTTTCATGAGTTAGATTTCTAGCTAACTCACACCCAGCCACTCCACCCAACCCCAGCCCACCTTTGCTGACAAAATCCTTCCAGTTTTCAGACTCTGCTGAAATACAACCTTCTTTATTTTTTTTACCAATTCCATCAGGCAGAGAAAGTCAGTCCAGCCATCCTCTCCCTCTAAGCATCTCTAGCCATCTCTAGTTCCAACTCTCTCTAGCCCTCTGTGCATATGTCTGTAGAGGCCTCTACCAGGTGGCTTTGAAATTCATCAGTATACGTGATGGACTCCCCCAGCAGACTGTCGCTCCCCAAGGGCAGTGCCCGGGTCCTGCTCACCTTCGTCCTCCCAGCTTCTACTACAGGGCTCGGCGAAGAGGCGGTACTTAGTGAAGTTTCACGGAATGTGTGAAGAAATGAACGAAGAAAAGAGAAGGGATCCATGGTGAAAGTTGTATGAAGCCAGAATTATTCCACCCCCAGGAGTCTCCCCCAAACCAGCAGGGTCTCTGGGAGGAATGCCCTCCACCCCGCAATGCCTGCGACGGAGATGCACTCTGCCCTCTCGGGGTGCCATGCAGGTGCCCAAAGGACTCCAGACACCCTCTGAGGATGATTCTCACCCTGCTTCCTGAAGTGTGTACTCAGACTAGACCACAGAAAAGCATGGTAGGTTTTGAGTGTTCCTTTTGTCCATCCTTATCATAAGCTTGCAACAATTCTATGCATCAGAAGGCACTGAAATATTTTTCATATAAGAACACAATTCAAATCAGTGATGAGGGTAAAACAATGCCTCTCATTTGAAGAACTCCTTCAAGCCAGACTCAACCGGCTGCCGCTTCATCAGGCTTTGGGGGAAACCACAGCCCTACTCCAGGGAAGGACAGCACACACATGTCTGCAGCTGAAACCGCACTGATGCGCAACTTGGGACAGTCTTTTGTCAAAGAGACATTTAAAGCCTTTTTTAAAAAACAACTATCTTCCTGGTACAAAGTTTCAGCTGTAAGATAAACTTAGAGAGAGGGGTTCTGGAGATACAGCATAGACCTATAGCAGCAGTACAGCATTGTAAATTTATGGTGTGCCAAGAGGTTAGATCTAAGGTCACGTGTTCTTAACACACACACACACATACAAATAACAATAATAATAATAATAAAGGGGCCAGGAGGAAACTTTGGGAGGTAATAGACAGTGTATGACCTTGATGGTAGTGATGGTTTCACAGGTGTATACTTGTCCCCAAACTCATCGAGTTATATACATTAAATATGTGCAGATTTTTACATGTCAATCATACCTCAATAAAGTTCTCAAAAAAAAAAACAACTGTCTCCCAGACTGAGTCACCTGGAATGGAACAAAATCTACTCCTTCATTCAGCAACAACTTGTTAAATGACATCTGTGCGTCAGGCACGAGGCCAGGTCAGCTCATAGCTGTTCTCCAAAAGTCTATGGGAAGGGGAAGAAGCCTGTGGTGCCCAGTGCTCTTACCCGGTGTTCATTGATGAGAAGGTCCCGAGCAGCATTAAATATCAGCGTGTGGAGGTGCTTGGAATAAAACACCAATGTGTAATCATAATCAAAGCCATAGATTTCAATGTCTGACAGGCTCATCTCATTGTTTGAGAAAATGGCATCTGGATTCAACAGATTGCTCATAATTGAAGGAACCAAGTCTAGAAGTAAAGAAAAAAATACATTATACCATATGATAAATAAGAGTTAGTATGATTTCTAAATAAAATAGTTAACTAAAGTGCACACGTGATTTGCTTTACCTTGGAAACGTTTTGCTGAAGGAAAGTAGCCAGTCACAAAAGACTACATGCTGCATGATTCCATTTACATGAAATGTCCAGAATAGGCAAATCCACAGAGACAGAAAGCAGATTAGTGGCTGCCTAGGACTGGGGGGACAGGGAGAAACAGGTATAGACTAGGTTGATGAGTTGCTCTAAAAATGATTAGGGGGATGGTTGAACAGCTGTTGTGAAGACACTAAAAAAACCACTGAATGGGAGACTTTAAGAGGGTGAGTTGTATAGTATGTAAATAATAGATCAATAACACAGTCACTAAAAAAGAATATTTGCTTCAAAAGCACAGGAAGATTTGTTTGGTTTAAAAAATAATACATGCTAGTTACAGATTTCAGAAGATAAACACATAATTAAATGTAAATATCATCACTTCATCACCAAGAAAAAAAAACTATTAGCATTTTAACTATTTGCTGCCCATACTGTTCTATGTATATAGTTTACATAGTTGACTTCACACTACACATTCAGCTTTGTATTATCTCTCTAAATGTAATATTCCATCATTACAGACCTTCTGAGCTACAACTGTAAACCATTACATAAGATTTTGGTACACTGATGTGCCATAGTCAGCTTACTGCTTCATGTCACACAGTTAGGGTTTTTCCCATTAAAAAATACCATTGCAATGAGCATCTTCATAAGTTAATCTTTGCCTTTCAGATTATTTCCTTCAGATGATTTATTAGAAGTGTGATTAATCCCAGCATGCCACTGAGGTCCCATGGATCCAACATCAATTTTCAGTTTCTTTTTTGAGCAGTTCTAACTATTTGTAAGGATTGCTATTTCATGACTTTTATTCGTTCTTGGAGGCCTTCCAAAAATTCATTCTACTTTAAAATTTCCATGAGTCCACTGGACCTTTTTAAAATTCTAAGATATATGGATCTTATCTTAAGGTGTAAGCGATCTTATTTTTCCCACATCTCAAAACATTTTACTACTTTATCATTGTAAGAATTATTTCATCATTACCCAAAAATTATTCCCACCTATGATTTTTTTAAAAGACTAAATTAAGAAAACAGGAAGATGACAGATCGTCTAAGATGGTAGAACAGTAAAATAAATCATCATTGTTACATCATCCTTCAGCTTTCTCACTGTGATGCCCAGAGCATCACATCAATTTCAAGAATGTATAACAGAAGTCTTAAGATATCATCTTTGCAATATTTTTTAAAGCTTTCAAGGAACACAGGTGAGAATTTGTAATTTTTCATTTTCCACCCATAATGGCAAAAGTATTAAACTGATGGAGGGCAATCTTTCACAATTATTAGATGAGTCAGAAGATTAACACAGAGACAGCAGCTCTGCAGGGTCTACTGATGATGAAAAAATTGATCACAGAAATGAAATTTAAAACTATGAGTCTTCAATGACCACAGCCTTGATGAAATCTAGGATCAAAGACTGCACAATATACTTCTAAAGACACAAAGGAAATATGATATCGTCATCCAGTTAGTAATTTCACAGGAAGATTCTCACCATGCACCATCTTGTGACAAGAAGACAGACTGTCATATTTTACTAAAAGGATATGATGACACTATTCTTTCACATTTTATGATGTTTGTGCACCAAAATTTACTTTAAACAGCTCATAAGGAGGCAAATGCTGAGAGCAGATGACTTTTAGAGACAGGTGCAAAATAAGCAACACATGCACACAAAAATCAAACTGCCCATATCCATTATAAGAGCTAGTATTTATTAAGCACTTAGAGTGTACTACATGCTATCATAAGCACCTTATATTATCTTGTTTAATCCTTACAACAACCTTACGAAGCAAATACTATATTATCCCCATTTTATTTATGAGCACGCTTGAGGCACACAGAAATTACATAATTGGCTGAAGGACACATAACCACTAAATGGCAGAGCTGGGATTTGAACCTGAGAAGCCTGGCTCTAGGATCTGTGCTCTTAACTCTCTGCCCCAGGATTGTGGGAATCAAAAGTATCTGATTTCTCAATAAACGGAGTGAACTCTTCATCATTTCAGTGCTCACCACAGAGTCTACTGGCTTCCCCCTTCTCTTCTGCTCACTTCTTGCTGAGTAGGAATGGCCCCCATTATCCAGAGCTGTTCTAAGGGGCTGCCTGAAATACTCAAAAGGTACTACTTTTGCAGGGTGGACAGCGCCAATCAAGGGACCATGCCAGCCCCAGTGAGGTATTCTGGGCACTTCAGAAGGCTCCTTATAGCTCCTTACAGCTTTGTGGCTTGGATCCCTTTGAGAACCTAACAGAAACTAGAGATTTCTCTCCCCAGAAAATGCACATACAGATTTTGCAGAAAATTTCAGGGAGGTTGACCCCTGAAAGCCTTTACATCCCCACAAAGAATGTCCAAGACAGTGAAGGCAAATGTATGAATGAATGCATTTCTCTCCCAATGGCAACCTAGATCTGGCTGAGTCTACTGAAAATGTGAATAGTCAAGATTCACCAGTAATTCCATTTCTACATTAGTTTCTTTTGTCAAAAATCAGTAAGACAATAACCCTGGATTTTTTTCTTTTGCAAATAAAATTGATCTGAGGATGGTAAACACACTAACATTTTAAGAAACATGGAAGCAGACATTCACAAGAACAGGCCCTGAGCAATAGAGAAGCCAGTAATTCCGAGCTCTTTGGCACCTAATAGCAAAGATCTTCTGGCCTTCCATAATCAATGGGCCGATGCAGATGGTGCTACTTTCTTTATAGGACTACACAGCATTGTCCTTATAAAGTGAAATGTGATCACTTACAGTGTGACCTACAGCTCTACTTTTACATATGATCTTTCCAAGGGAAGTTCTAACAGCCTGTTTAAATTAGTAGTTTGTGTTTAGAAACACTGTTGGCAATAAAGTCTCCCCTTCTCCTACTTGAGAAGAATACATGAAGCCCTCAGGGGAACACCAGCATGATGGAACGGCACATCTCCAAGAGCTGCCCGGGAGCTCCCCTGCTGGGGAGAAAGCCCCGGGTGTATTAATCACACATGCATCATCACCAGAAAACTTGGATGTTTAATTTGTCATCACTCAAAATAAACACAAGGAGTGTCAGAAGCTTAACAGGGATTTCAACACCTCATGCAACGACCTCAAGAAAGTGCCAAGAACAAGGCAAAAGAAAAGAACGCCAAACTCTCAGAGTTCGAAAGAGTCTGTCTCAACTGTGGACTCTAAAGTATAAATTGAAGGGCCCTTCAGCATTGAAAAGACTAAGAACAACAAATCCTGGCGAGGATACGGAGGGAATGTAAGCTAGTTCAAGCATTGTGGAAAGCAATATGGAGGTTCCTCAAAAAACTACAAATAGAAATACCATTTGACCCCTGAATCCCACTCCTTGGAATTTACCCAAAGAATACAACTTCTCAGATTCAAAAAGACTTATGCACCCCTATGTTTATTGCAGCACTTTTTACAATAGCCAAGATACCGAAGCAACCTAAGTGTCCATCTGTAGATGAATGGATAAAGAAGAGGTGGTACATATACACAATGGAATACTATTCAGCCATAAGAAAGAAACAAATCCTACCATTTGCAACAACATGGATGGAGCTGGAGGACATTATGCTCAGTGAAATAAGCCAGGCAGAGAAAGACAAGTGCCAAATGATTTCCCTCATTTGTGGAATATAACAACGAAGCAAAACTGAACAAAATGGCAGCAGACTCAGAGACTCCAAGAAGGAACTAGTGGTTACCAAAGGGAAGGGGTGTGGAAGAGCAGGTGGGGAGAGAGGGAGGAGATTGAGGGGTATTGTGTTTAGTACACAGGGTGTGGGGGATCATGGGGAAAACAGTGTAGCACAGAGAAGGCAAACAGTGAATCTGTGGCATCTTACTACACTGATAGACAGTGCCTGCACTGGGGTATGGGTGGGGACTTGATAATATGGGTAAGTATAGTAACCACATTGTTTTATCATGTGAAACCTTCATAAGAGTGTATATCAATAATACCTTAATAAAAAATTAAAGAAAAATAATAATAATTGAAGGGCCCTTGACTAGTCAGTTATGTACTTTCCCAAAGCAGAAATAAGACTTAGAAAGTGAATTCCTTTTGTACCTAATGGATGATGACAGCAATTAGTACAAAGATAGGAAGACAAAGCTCTGCTGCTCTGGCCAACGCTCTGATGAGAGAGAGCCCAGTGCCAACACAACCACCCTGAGCTAGTACATGGAGGGCAGCTGCCAGAGAGTCACCTGAAGCCCCAGCAGAGTTTGCAGGAGTGAGAATAAACTTTGGTTACCACTGTCTATAGTAAGCCCCTAAGTCTTCAGTGCTGCTTGTCATGGCAGCAAAACCTAACCTGGCCTGTCTGATACACCTTTTATTCTTCCAGGATGGTGATTTTCTTTGGGAAACTGCACCTCCCCAACATTTGGACTGTATGGGCTCAGTGAGGTCCCATTCCTGGCTCCAGGAGGAGAGCATGTGACCCAGGCCAGCCAATCAGAGCATCGTCTCACCCTCAGCAACATGAGTTCACGACAGGAATAGGTCCCCCCAATCATCATCATCGTCATACTTTCCCTGCAGCCAAAGTCAACCAATGATCCCAATCAAGGGAATTTCTGGGTTTGTAAGGAAATTCCAAAGAAGAGGCATTCTTTTCTTCCAAACTTGGATTTAAGAGGATATGAATCTGCAGACATGAGGGGACACCTCCAGGAACCTGAAAGGAAGACCAATGGGGAAGAGAGCAAGGTCAAGAGTCAGAGATGCCACCAATGACATCATCTGCACTTGGATCAAGTAATGCTTGAAGCTAGTACCACCTCTGGATTTTTCGATGACATAAGCCCATGTCTTCTTTTAAAT